AAATATAAAAATTGTTTAAGGATCTTCTCAAGACTCCACACAAAACTATGATAACGGCAGTACTTGATGTACACAACAAAAAAAATCTCGAGAACTTTCTCAAAGTTCTCAAACACCCGTAGAAGCAATCGGAGCTCGAAAAGAGTTTGAAAAAAAAAGAAGAAATTGAAGGAACTTTAAAGAGCCCAGAAAACGCATACTCCGGAGTCGAGGGATTCATGCAGAGGACGGGGCGAACAGGTTCTCGGTTGGTTACCGTGTATTCACCGTGCTGAAAACCTTGGCTCGGATGCCCCTCGCAAGCCGAGTAGTCTGCCTCGTGGGATGTATCTCCCTCACCTTCGAGCGCGAGAGCTATTTCTCCATTTCTCTCCACTGGGTCGAAATATCGAGTTATCGTCGTGGGATTATTTTACGAACAGATGGATATCAGTTTGTGAGATGACGAGATCCCGTCACGACCTTTCGCAACGGTAGTTTAATGATGACACGAGATAAAGGGGAAAATTGTGGTGATTGCAGCAACTATGTCAGGCATTCAATCATTTAATTATGGAATCGTTATCGAGGCGTGAAAAATGAGAGGGACAAAATTATCAGCGTTGATGGAATTTTTTTTCCACTGTTACTGGCGACTTGAGATGAACACAATGAGCCAATTAACAGAGGATAATTAATCTATTGAATGAGGAAAAATTTCGTTCGTGTCAGAGCGAAGTTTTTCCATTTAATTTTAAATGTTGAAGGAATTCTTTTGCAAGAAATTTGGATATTTTCCACGGGAATTATTAGAATAGAATCAATCATCAAGGTACATCCATAGAAATTATTTATTTTAATGAAGTGAACTTTATTTTAATTGAATATTGAAGCTTTCGTTCAAACGCGAAATTAATTTTTTTTGTGTTTTTATCTGGATGAAATAAATACTTCTTTGAATATAAATAAACAGTTTCTTGATGAGAACGAGAAGACTTCATTCATTAAAAATGATATCAGTAGCGAAGTGGTAAAGTAGTTTAAATCAATTTCGACTATTGGCCAGTTTTCAATGGATATCTCGGAATCTAAGAGAGATGGAAGAATTTTTGCTATAACCTTTTTTGTAGAGTCGAGTAAGATCTACAACAATGTAATTACGAAAATTTCGCTATCTCCCTTAGATTCGGAAATATTCCTCACAAACTCAACTAGGAGATAAGTCGACTTAAACCGTTTTACCACTTCGCTACTTAAATAATTGTTTAGAGAATGAGGAGAACGAATTTATTCAAATGTGATAATCCTTTATTTGACTATAAGAAAGGATTCACTGGCATGAATGAATTATTTATTTCATATTTATATGAAAATATCTCAATTATAACAAACATTTTCATTTAAAGAAAAAAGGCAGTTTATTAATTCCAACAAAAATATTGTTGCAATTAATAGATAAATATAAAATAAAAAGTTTTTTATTGTAATTGACGACTTGAAATGAACTCAGTGATTTAATTAATAGTGGCTAATTAATCCATTGGAGGAAAAAAAATTTCTTTCATGACAGCGAAGTTTTCCTATTTAATAAAGGAATATTTTTAAAGGAATTCTTCTGCAGAAAATTTCCACGTTTTTCTCGAAAATTATTCGTTGTGAAGATGATTTGATATTCACGAATATATGGTGAATCGGATTATTCTTATCGTAACTTGAACATTTTGCTTATCTACAAGTTCAAGAGATATTCTCCGATGTCGAAGTTTCTGATGTCTAGTTCATTAATAAATGAGCTCGGTACATCCATAGAAATGATTCATTTGAATTAAACGAAATGCATTTCAATTGAATAATAAAGTTTTAATTCAAACTTGAACTTGATTTTTTCCTGTTTTTATCTGTATAAAATAAATACTTCTTTGAATATAAATAAATGTTGTCTTGAAGAAAATGAAGCCTTCACTAGTTAAAAATGAAATATTAGTTTAGAGGAAGAAAACAAATTTATTCAAATGTAATAATCCTTCCTATGATTACAATAGAGCATTCACCTAGAGTGAATAAATTATTTATTTCATACAATAAAATATTTATTTCATATAAATTATTTATTTCATATCATTAACACATTTCCATTGAAATGAATAGACAAATATGAAATAGTTTTTTTATTGTAATTAACGACTTGAGATGAACAGTGGCTAATGAATCTTTCATGTCAGCGAAGTTGTTCTATTTAATTTTAAATATTACGGGAGATGGGGGTAAAATGGACACTTTTGGCTTTTTTTTAAATGTTCATGACAGATTTAAATGTTAATAAAATTTAATAATTTTTTTTTCAATGCAAAAACCAATTCTTTATCTTTGTGATGAGCCTAAAGTGAGCACAATTGATAGATTTGTTTCTGAGTTATGAGCAATTGAAAAAAAAAGTCCCCATTTTACCCCACCCTCCCCTAAACGAAATTATTCGTCATGAAGATGAAGAAATTCAAAATCATCCAATGATTTGTTCTTATCATTCATTCCGATCATTGATTGACTTCTTCATTCTATGCATCATCATTTCTTATGTATAAAATGCATTGAAATTTACTTTTTCATCACGCTGTGACGAAAAGTGAACTTTTCGGCACGCTCCGCGTGCCTAAAAGTCAAATTTCCGCCACATTGTGATGAAAAATATTGTTCGTAATTCGTGAAAAAATGTTTTTTAGCTCGTGGGACTCGCCTTTGACTCGTGATATAAACCTCCCACTCGCCAAAAAATACTTTTTTGCACTCGTTACGAAATATACTATTTCATTTCCACATAAAATAATAAAGAACTTTTCACGATTTTAATTTAAAAAAAAATTATAATAAATAAATTTTCATGATTTTAATTAAGGAAAGGATCACCGCGCGCCCGCTCCAGTTCAAAACGAGCCAAAAAATCATGGCATAAATATAAAAAATTACGAAACCACGCAAGAATAATGCCTGCGCTTATGAACTCAATTTACGCTCGGTAATATTCACGGCTCGCCGCGGCCAGTAACACGGCAGCTGTGGAGTTAAAATTTCTTTGTCTCCCTGTCCTACCGACCGAGTCCCCTCGCTCCCCTCGCCGTCACCCAAAAAAATCCCCGAAAAATCCTGGGAAAGCTCCACCACTGTCCCCCACTCCTTGCGCCAATTAATTCCCTCATTACTCATAAAATCGTGCACGCGGAGTCTCCATTCTCAACTTCTCCGTTCCCTCATCTCTCGCCTGGTCACAATATGGCGGGTGGTGGGGCCCCACAGTGAGCCCGAGCGGCGAGTGAGTGAACCCCCGAGTCAGTCGCCAGCGAGTCGCACTGTCGGGGCCCCGAGTTGGCGCGACGCGCGTCCTGTATTCGTAATTTTCAATAAAAAAATCCGCCGAGTCGAGCCCCCACCGATCAAACAAATCCCCAAATAACGAGTGGACCCTCACCAACTGATTAATAATCGCCCGATCAATCGATTAACCAGTGGAGTAAATAAAAAAAACATCGGAACGAGTGCAGGATAGTTTCATTGAGGATTTGAGGATTAGGTGAGCGTCTGAGTGTGACAATTCGCTGCTTCTTCCCTTAGTCATAATTATACTCGCCCTTCGACTTTTGTGGCTTACATGGGATCGGCGGAAATTTTGTGAACTGAAAAATCGGGAGGTCCGTGGGAGACGTGCGATACATGCCGCCCACCGCCAGCAACAGGCTACCTCACGTCTCGTCCTTCATCTGCCCCTCATTTATTAACAACTGAGTAGCTCCTGAACAAATGCAGATCATCGTGTGGGGAAATAGAGCACAAGTCGCTTGATAAGACGCGCAATGTGCTTGCTCTCGTTTTTTTTTCCTTTCGGTTTTATGGTGGCTTTATCTCTCTGAATGTTAAACATGGACATGTGGATGTCGTTTGCATCGTAAGAGAGGATATTGAGAGTTTACTGAGGTGTTAGGGGGCTACAGGGCTGTGTAAACTGGGGGGGAATATCGGGATCAGCGCTGGGTTTTGTTAACGCTGTTGCCAGTATTTCAAGACGGTTCTGGTGGAGTGGGCAACTCCCGTTCC